CTGTCAACAGAGAAGGAAAGGATATTGTCAGTTTTGCTCTGCTCTTATAAGTCTGGTATAAGCTGACTCGTCCTTTTTAATCCATTTCATTCAAATATTTTTCAACTTCTATTCACCACCGCATTTTCAATGAATGGTTCTGACACTGGCACGCACTAGTATGAAATACAATTTCTAACTTCTTCCACTAGCTGACCACCTTCTTCACTGATCCCATCACTTCAAGTAATGTAATATGTCCCACGATGGAAGATGCAATGTTTAGAGAATCTTCTCTCCATTTTTACGCTCCCTTCAGTAGAACATCAATCTTTTTTTTCAGGAAGGCATTACTATTTTGTTTCTTACACACCTAGTAGTATCTCAAAAAACTCATATTTGTATTTAGCACTTACAGTCCTCATTACAGATTCCATGCATTATAGCAAATAAATCAATGCATACACAAAGAGTTTCCATAATTAAGAAGCTAGTCATTTACAAAAATTAGTTTAAAAAATTAAATACATTTTAGTTTTTTATATATAATGGCTTTTTTTACCATTAAATGAACTATGATTCACAAGAGTACTAGTCTGCAGTACAAGGTATCTTACAATTTTCATCCTCACAAGTGGGCACACTTAGACATTAACATCTCCCTATCTTACTTTATGAGGAAGTGTCATTACAACACAGAATACTACTACTAACAACAATAACAACACCAACAATACCATCACCACGACCACCACCAACATATAACTCCTACTGCTGCAACTACCTCTACTTCTTTACTATTACTACTACTATTATAAACAATGCATTTACTTACTGTCGGCAGGGAAAGCGTGTCTGCTATGTTCATGTAAGGCTCCTTATATTCTGAATGACTTGGATCAACCTCTTGCTTTATAGAAGGAGGAGACGGTGGTATGTCCACAACCTCTTCAATGTCAGGTGTTATGGGGTTTAACTTTGGGACTGAGGCAGGGCTGGACTTGTAACTGCACTGTGATGATGTCTGTGGATAAAATAAAAAATTCATATAATTTTAGTCACTTTAACTAAAAAAATCTTCAAACACCAAAAATGCACACTTGAGTAGTTAACTGCAGAAAAATTTAAAACTGAAGGCTATTTCAGGAAAAAACCAACACAATGCAGAAGTCACAATTGCTCAGTCAGTATACTAACTGGGGTATTGGCTAGATGACCGTGGTTCAAATCCTGGCATGGCAGAATTTTTCTCAACACACAATGTCCACAGCAGTTCGGCAGCCCACCCAGCCTCCTACCGAATCGGTACTGGGGTTCTTCCTGGGAATTAAAGTGGACAGGGCATGAAACTGACCACCCAACCCCACTTAGTGCTGAGATTAAGAATGCACAGAGCCATACTTCCGCTGAACGATGCATGACATTGTACTTAGTTAAGCACCAGGAATAACATTACCTTTACACTACTAATATAGTGCACACTGGATTAAGGGTATGTCTTACATACAAAAACAATTCAAACGTTCATAAACATCGGGCTAACATGTTCAGCTGTGGTACATTGACAAGTCTATGTATGCAAATAACAAACCTTCATCAAATGTTACAAACTTTCCTAGCAAAGCAGAAACTTTCTTAACCTTAAAATAAAATCTTCATGGTACATTGCACAATCTTGTCCGGCTAGCAGTTTCAATCTTCCCACCTTTTGAAGCTCCAAGAACTAAACACGGCATATGTATCGTCAACAAAATGGAAGTATAACCATGTTTCTAACAATTTACTTCCCTGTAGTTTCTACCCCACAGGATTTCTCTGACTAAAACATAGTATGCATTTCTCAGTTCTAGAGTAGGTACTACACGCTGAAGAACACAGATCATGAGGCTCCTCATCATGCAGTTTTCTTCAGTCCCCTCAAACTTCCCCCCTCTTAGGTCCAAATATCTGCCTGAGCACCCTGACTTCAAAAACCTGATTCCACATTATTTCCTTAGGTCAACAAACCGAGATCTACTTTCACTAACACATAAAACAGATTATGAGATTTGAGGTTCTCACTGGGATGAGAGTGTGGATGATGTAGGCATTTACCAAAGTTTCAGATGAACATACCATCTCCATCTTCAGTGAAGATGTAGGCAATGCTTCTACAAAACACTGGTGGCCACCTACAAGACTACACAACGTCATAACCCAGAAGATCACAATCCCCAGATTAAATTATAAGTTCTATACAATTTAATCTCTGCACTTTTAAGTACAAGACAAAAATATGAAAGATTCTGTACTGAATAACAGCTAGTATTGTCAAAATTTAACCTGCTCTTAATTACAACTAAAACAATTATGTGTGATAAAGACTTCACAATTTTAAAGATGATATTTACTGCATCCTGCATTATGAAAACAAGCGATGAATAAACTGTTGTGGACATGTGCTGTGAGCGCACATGTTACTCTATGCAGACCAGCTGGCAGTGTGTCTCTTGTCATCGGAGACTTGTGTACACAGTGCTATAAGCTTCTGAATCATTACCAGGCACACAGTCTCTAGAAATGTCCCCAAATGTAACTGAACAGCCTCCCCCTCCAAATGGAATAAAAGGAAACCTACAAGCATTCCACTGATTTGTAGTTTAATGGCATTTTAAAATAAAAGGAATTACCAATGGGTCCATCAATACTGTTATAGAGAACTTCTGTTTTTTTATTTTATAAAAGAACATATGACACATTCTCAAGTACAATTACTTTTAATATATCTTATGCTAAGAAGATTAGAAGATTGTAAATATAAATTCTCATTCAAACATAATTCTTATAAATACTTAATTACTTCTCACCATTGCCCCTGTACACTACATTTCAGAATTCAACAATTTAGGGTGCAACTCTGCTAGTTTATTTACAGTATCTTTGATGATGTTTCATGGTAACTGGGCATACAAAATTTTGTGAAGCAATGGGTTATAAACATGCCTACAAAATACGCAGTACAAAGAAGCATGTACTAAAACAACACAAGAATAATACTTTTGTTACTACCATATTTTCTTTATTTCTATGGGGAGGCGGCATTACATTACATTCACGACTTTTTATTCATACCAGCAACGTAAACCTGCGAAGCCTTACAAGATTATTGGGGATCAATGATGTTAATTTCTATATGAATCATCAAGTACTGATCAGACACACTTCATTTGTCAGATACTGAAGAAAAAAGTAGGACTACAAAGGAAATGTACATTATCTACACACATACTTCAAGAAAGCCTACAATTTGATTAGGAGAAAAACATTACACAACATTCTAACTGAATTTGGTGTGTCAATAAAACTACTTAGGTTAATTAAGTGATTAAATAAAACCAACAAAATAAAGCCTGTATAGGTAAACACTTTACTGATGCCTTTTCTACAGAATGGTCTGAAACATGGAGACGCTTTATCACCATTGCTTTTCAACTTTGCTTTGGGACATGCCATCACGAAAGCCCCAGAAAACAGTGAGGGATTAGAACTGAGTGAAACACATCAGTTCCTGGTCTATGCTGATGACTGTCAATTTGGACATGTTCATGTCTTATCACAAGACAACAGGAAAAATCATTAAATAAATATAGCTAATAAATCCTTTCAAACATCTGGGAACAACAGTAACAAATCAGAATTGCATTCACAGGGGAATTAAGACCATACCATTCATACAATGGGTGCTGCATCCATCTTCATTATTTTTTATAAGTGTTTTATTACATTTTTATATATGTGTGTGGGGTTATGTGTAGTTGTTCCTACACAATTTGGTTATACCATCATCTATCATAAACAAATCCAGAAATTACAAAGCAATAACATTTAAGAATAAAGTTTATTCTTTCAGTGCTGTTACACCTTCTACAAATATATTATTTGATTTATATACTTGTCCACAGTATTTATATCACAAGCATTCTTTCACGCTACAGAACAGAACATTATTTATTATTGTTCTGTCCAGACCAGCAAAATTTTTTCCTAATCCTAATACTGAATGAAGGTGATTTTTCAATACTTGCATCACATTATTCTGTACTTCTATCTCAGCAACTGGATATTTACTTACATATAAAAGTAAAACTTGTCCCTAAAACTTTGAATTAAATCAGTTACTTTAACAATTACGGCATTTAAATAGCAGGCATATCTAGGTAGCTCTATGTATATTACTTCTAAATGTATTGCGCTTGCTGAAAAGGTTTCCATGTACTGGCTACTTTGCTGAACAAGTGAATATCACATGTACTCATTGTTACAACATGGTTAAATCTGAGATTGTCTACTGGGCACATTTTATTTATTGAGTTGAATGGAAGAAATATACCTAAGCAAAAGAAATCTGGTGGGAAATGTAGTTCCACAATAACCATGAAACAAATGCCTCAGACAAAATAAAGACAAAGGTTCTGTATGTGCTCTTGACAGGCTAGCTATAAATTTGAAATGTTACGTGTTAACTGTGATTCTAAATGTGGCTTTCAAACTCCCTGAAACTTAAATTTGAGAATTATTACAATTAAGATATTTGTGCACAGGTAACAATCCACTGGAAAAGGAGAAGCTTGAGGAGAGGTACTGTGTTAGAACTGTCACTACCATCATCACCATCACCAATGCTTTTCTGGCTACTCTCAAAATCATTTAGTCTGACGCTCCTTTGATGTGAATGAGAAGTTTGAGACCCTCTCCTCAACCTATAAAAATGACCCAGAAATGTGATCTAGCAGTTTAAAAAACTAATTTATAATAACATTTAACAAAGTGCATGAAGTACTTTCTCTATTACATTATGTCCTTCTAAAGTAATGGGCCATTTCACAGTAATTTGTATGTATTATAATTAGACCATTAGCTTTCCTGTAGAAAGCAGATTTTTACAGATTATAGAAGTGCAAGCTGAATACTCTAGAAATAGTTGCCCAGACATCTTTGAAAAACGCAGCTGCTGAAGCAGTTAAGAAAATTAGGGTACATGGCAGAACCAGAAACATTCTTCCCTCCATGGTGTTATGGTTGCTACCAGCATGGATACTGGTTGAGTTCTAGATATTGCCTGTTTCACATATCTGTTAGACCAAAGCTCGTACAGAACATGTCTGCCAGTCTATTTTAGTTTTGAAGGTTCTCGTGGAGATAGAGTTAGCTGGAGCTCTACAATTTTTGTGCATTCAGAGGTATGTCATACACAAAGTACAATAGTGACAAAATATTCCAATGCTTTCAAGAAAATGGTAGAAACAAAACCACATGAATATGTATAAATCAAGTCTGGATGCATGGATACACTGAAAAGCAAATGAGGATTCAGTTCAGGAAGATGAAACTGACCAAGAAGAAGTAATTAATGATCTGCAGTAATAATATTGTCAGTGCAAACAACCTGCACAATGACAAGAATGCATCCAGAGCTATCGACGCCATTCAGTTCTGCAAACTTTCAACATACAGCTAGCTGTTTCAACATGGTTTATGCCACAAACTGTGCTGTAAGTTCAACCATGGAGATGTTACTGACATAAGATAAGAATTCATTGCCACAAGTTGTACTGACAGAGATACAGCCTATTTACAAAGATACATAGCTCGTCCTCATTTACTTATAAATTGTCTCCATGAAAGGACCCAAAAATCAGACTGCCGCAGGGTCACAACTCCCAAAAATAGCTTTTGTGGACTCAACGTAATGGCATTACAGACTCAGGTTAGTTCTGTCAATGAAGGAAACTTGTCTAAAATAAAGGTCCTAAAAGAACTTGAAATATCTTTTGGGAACAATCCAAAGATGCCAAGTGCAGAATCAGAGACAATGGCAAAACTGGCCTATGAAATATATCAACCAAGAGCACCCTGCTAGATAAAGAGGGAAAGGAAGAAAACTCAGATAACAATGAACATGGCGCAGAGATGCATTAACATAGATGATAAATTACCTTGCCTTTAAAGTAATAGAAACTTTACAAACAATTTCCATAATTTCAA